TAATTGCCAAAGTGACCAAACACACTCGCACGTCGTCAGCCGTGGAAGCCTCTATAAGTCGCTTCTTCAGCTTTCCCATTCCGAGTTCAGCGACGCTTTTAGCTTCGAAACCTGGTGTGTCCCAGTCATCAGTGAGGAGCTCTTTTGGAATATCCATGTTCTCATCGTCGCTATATATCGGATCATTAATCAATTGTTTCAAATTCTCATCAGATATTAATTTTCTTCTTATCTTTTCACTTGAATCTCCTCCGACATATTTTCTTAAGTACTCGTCTATTCTATCGAGTGGTATTTTGCATTGGGATGTTGCTAAATGTAAAAAGAATACATTTAACCTGCTCCAGTCAGATTCTGATAAGTCGGATTGCAAAACTGGACCCAGAGCCCAAAATAGCAAGTCATAAAACTTGTTGCCCAGAGTTTTAAGCTTGTTAAGGAAATCGGGATGTGTAGACGGTATTCCGCCTTCGAGAGCGTATCTCACGGCATTTAATGCTGAAACTCTATTTAATAGATCTCTTGCAACAGTAAAAGCACCACTGGAAGCCGATCCTTGTATGTCTAGCTCCACGACTTCTCTATGAATCATCGGGATTTCTCTAGCCAGGTTGTCAGCTTGTAAGATTGCTATTATCCCTGCATAATGATTAGAAACAGACTCTTGTAATTTTTGTAAAAGTGTAGGTTCTTCATTGAGTAATTCAAAGCCTAAATTTAGAGCTCTTATATAACCTACAATATCATCATTAGTCATACTAGCGTAATTGAAGTTGTTCCATGGCATATCTCTTTGCAATCCATAACCTTTTATATCAATGATTTTTTCAAGAAGTTTGGCATTTTCTCTACAACCGAGTATATGTTTTTTTGCCATATCATGTTGTCCATAAAAGAAGTAATTATAGCATAAATCAAAATGAATCTGCATCGCCAGTTCATACTGGTTTATGTAAACTTCTCCTGCATTCCAATTGTGGTTCATGTCATTACAATCCTCGGTCAAATGTACAAATGACTCCATAACAGGAATTTTAATCTGTTTAGGGCTTCTATAACTTGAATATTCAGTTAGAACACTTTCTAAATATTTAATGCTTTGTAAGCGTGATGTGTCACACATTCTTAGTATTTTTTCAAAGTTTTGATTCATCGGGTTGTAACCTGTATCTGTCTGCATTCCCGGTCTAATGATAGAGAAATTGTTATTACTATATTAAAAATTAAAATAATTTTCAATAGTATGTAGAAATACTTACACATGGATGAAGGACATTTTTGTTGATTTAGCGAACAGTGCCGCTTTTACCGGAAACCTTAATATCCATCTGTGATATAGAGTTAAGGCAAACTGTACTTGAGGTTTGTTTAATAACTCTGTTGGTATTTCCTAAAATTTATTAAAAAGTAGTCAAATAAGTGAAAAAAACGAAAGAAATAACATAAAATAGTGTAATAACCGTAAGATATTCTTTTGTTTTATTGTTCAAAGTTTTAGTTTAATAAACAATTTCATAAATTATGTAAAAACCTGCTGAAAATTATCTTATTCTATTTACCGGAGGTGGTACAGCGAATGCTGTATCAGTAGCTAGATACACAAGGTCTTGCATCAGCTGTTGCTGTATTTGTGGAGGCAACTTTGTTTCAAATACATCTGTAATAAACAATTACATCATTGTTGTACCTAATTATCATTCTATATGTTTATTTTAACACAAAATTACCCAAGTTCCAATGTAGTGTTGCAGCTATCTTAAGAGCGAGTATTTTCAGTGCTAGTTGTTTCCTAGTAAATTGTAAAGGCGCAGTAGACACTGTTGGAGGACTGGGAGGGCTGTCTACATCAACAACTCTTTCGCTTACTTTTGGTGCTGAATTCTTAGCATCAACTGATAAGAACTCTTCTATAAGTTCACATGCTGATGGTTCTGTAATAAGACAAAATATATCAATACTAATGAATAATGTTGCTTATGTTTTAATGTTCTTAATAATTAAAGCATCCTTACCTGGATTTGGTTTGCTAAGATGCTTTTTTAATAGAGAGGGGTCAAGTATGAATTCAAACCAGAGGATAGTGTCGGGTGATATGGGTACAGTTCCCGGCCGTAATAAATCTACATCCATTGTTGAGGACTAATCATATAAGAAATATTACATCAAAAGACGTCTTCAAGTTATTATTTTCCTAACGGTGTTGAAGTTTTAATAAAAATGATCTATACTTATTCTAAATTGGTTAATAATTTTAGAAAATATTAGTATTTGATTTCTTAAAAACCTACGTTATTTACACGGCAAACGCAAAGCCAAAACAAAATATGTCAATGTCATAATGAAGACTGACGTCACGGAATCGTGACATTTGTTTTTTTTTAATAATTTGAAAAGACAAAAGTAACGATATAGTGACGGCAGTTTGTTTTAAATTCTAATTTCATAACACTTAAAAAAACGTTTTGGTTCAATTTGACGATATTTTTTTTTGGTTCTTTGCGGTATACAAAGCCTACTTACTTTGGATAATTCAGTTTTGAGCCAAATATTAACAGCAACATTTTTGTTAAGATATTAAGGACACTCGTACCCAGCTTTTACATTTTTATATCAATCAATAACACTTGATATACTCAGGTGTCATAAATCCAAACTCATGAGGTAATTAGAATCAGGGATACTTTACTATATTAAGCTGCGATTAGCTTGCTTGTATATTAACAATTTTGTACCTTTCCGATGAGACTAACTTACGTTTGATTTTTGTAAAAATAGCTACTAATTGACATACATTATGAATTATGTATTATTTAACACTACATTATGTATTATTTAATACTATAGGATTATGGGTTATTTAATACTACAACATACTCTTAGGAGTAAGAACTAATGCTGCAACTGGTAAAGTCGCCGGGCAAAGGTAGACAGCATAGTAAAATATGCTATATCTATACGATGCTATGCTATCCACTCTGCTCGGCATATTTAGGTGCACTTGTTATATGGTTAGCGTTATCTCTCTAAGTATTCGATAACCGATGGATATATCGTGTGTTTCCGATAAATTGCGTTGAGCTACAAACAAGTAGTAGTTTATCCGATATTTATCTTCGATATTTTGTTTTCGAATTACAATTGTTACACAAACTTGCTCCATATTTGGCACATGCAATAAGTAATAGAAATATCTATTGTGTATTAAAATCATATGTGCATCAAATAACTATCGAGTGTTATGTAATTTTCAAGTGGATTGTTATTTATAACACGTTTTGCTAGTGTATTGAGAAAACAAGTGAGTGTAAAAGTGTTGAGTTAAAAAAATATATATCAAGTGCATCCGTCCTTGCTCCCTGCCCTTTTCCCCCCGTGTGTAAAGTAATATCCCAGAAAGTTGTGTTTATTAAGATCACACTTCTACATTCATGAATATAACATCCTCAAGTTACGCTCGAACTATACTTATATGTAACTAGTTAGTTATGAACAAAACTGTTCATTTACGAGCTGTTGCCCGCGACTCCATCTGCGTGGAATTAAAAAAAAACAAAAAGAAAGTAGCCTATGTGTTCTAGACTGTGTGCTACATATATGCCAAATATCATCGAGATCTGTTCAGACGTTTAGGATATAAACTGTAACAAGCATCTATCTATCCAACCATCCATCCATCTCCACTTTCGCATTTATAGTATAAAAAAGATTAACACGCTCATTTGTGTCGACTGTTGTGCGACTTCGATTTTGATACGAAGGAACTGCAGTCGGTCGGCAAGAACTGCACTAGAACCAATCTAATTACTAAAAGTCTTTCAGTGGATACAAACTCATACGAACAGATCAGGCAGAGTAACAATGAGGTATACATAGAAATGGACCTCTTACGTGTGGGCTCGGAACCCGTAGGAATGCGGTGTCCCCATTGCCACGAGGACGTGATGACCAGGGCTGCGTATAAGAACACCACAATTACACATATAATTGCGGTCATACTCGGCGTGTTGTTTTGGTACGTATGCGAGATTTATATCTTGGATTATTCCCAACCGTCACCCCGCTCTGTCCCCACGTGAGAATAACGTTTCATCCGTCCCACTATCACCTATAAGGTGACAGATGTAACCGATATGAAATAAATAAGTTCCAACCGTCCCCTCGTCGCAAAAGGTAGGACGGATGAAACTTTTCATTCTCATGTTTAGAATAAAATGATGAAACTCTTGTTACGATAAGTAATTTTTTAAATTTCAGGTGGCTGTGTTGCTGCGTTGTACCCTACGTTGTTAGAAGATGGAAAAACGTGGAGCACTATTGTCCCAATTGTCAAAGATTTCTTGGAGTTTATACAAGGAAAACCATTTTATAAAAATGAAACTTTCTTTAAATTTAGATTAGATTCAAACATTAAAGTTATTAAGGCTAGATTTAGAAAGGATGTAAAAAAACAGCTAAATAACCTCTGGAATATTTGTTAGAAAAGATTCTAATTTGATAGTTAAAGCACATTTTTTACCCATGATATATTTCGGCCCAATTGTAATTGCAAAGGAGGGCCGGAAAGCGGACATTACGGACCCCCAAAATGGATAATATTTTATTAAAACATTTTAAATGCTACAATGTCAGCCAAAATATAAAACAGACACCATCTCTTTTCCTTTCCTTGTTACACTTTAGAGATTTTAGTTAAGTTTATGTAAGTTTATTTTCGTGGCAATATCTTTGCTTGTTCAAACGGTAACAAAGTTGCAAACGACGGTTTGTGAAACTTTTCTTCGTTTAAGAATTTAAGTCGGAAATGTTACAATATAAATAACATGTAATATTCATTTCATTGCAATCATTTGTTTTGATAATAATACATGCACGTAATTACGTTGCAATATTTAGGTTATAAATTAAAAAGAAATGTGAAGATTGTATAAAAACTATATTTAAATAAGTAGAAAATTTCGAATAAAAATTATTATATTTATACAACACATTTTGTGTTTTCTTGATTAAACTAGTATACCTTAATAATAAAATATACCTAATAACCTAATAAGAATCATAAACATATCACAGAATAGTAATTTTCCATAAATGTTTGTAGAAAATGATTGAGAGAAATTGTACATTAATATAATTAAATCACATATTATGTCTGTACGTGAATATATCCTTGTGATATTAAAAGCAAACGATCATAGTTTTATGCATCAAAATGTAATAATAATCTGCACATATTGAATTTTACTTTCAATATAACATTAATTTTTATTTGATATTTTAACATTTTCAAGTATTCGATACACATTTTTCATTTTTCCTAATCCTTTTACCGATATCTAAAAATAACAGATTTTTTAAAAGGTACACAAGTTAACTTAACATGAATAATTAATTGGCAATGAAATCAAGACGGTGCGTAGGTACCGATGAACGCTCTACATTTAGGGCAAAAATGGTTAGCTGATTTACATGATCGCATGCAGTAGGGGACGAAGCAACCGCAACAGCATCTGTAAAATACAACAGAAATATTGTAAACTCGGTTTATTTAAACACAAAAATATGTAGAGAAGTACTTCCAATTCAACGGCGAATTCAACAATTTGTTAATTACATGATTATACTTTTTCAGTTATTTCCTATGAAGTTTGAGATAAAACGAAGTGATAGAGACAGATAAAAGTAGCTAATGTTTGCAATTATGTGGTAAAAAGTATCCGCAAATATTTTGTAATTTACATGTTTAACTGGATATAATTATACTTGTAATACATAGTGACGTGGTGTGATACTTGACTGCGTTCACTGCGTACAATGTGTTTTTATTATCTGCGTAATTAAAGCGAACGACTTGTTTCTCGTATCAGTGTTACATCAGAGAGATCAAATATCATTCATCGTTATCATTACCTCTCCGCGATATGAATTCTTTAAAAAGTTCGTAAATGAAGATTAAAACGTAAATTTTTGACACTAACTGAGCTCAGGTTTGACAGCAATGAAAGAGACCGACGTGCGCTCATGTATGAGAGCGGCAGTCGGGCCGGCGATCGCTCAGGCGTAAGGGCGAAGACCGAGATTTAAGTTTGCTCAGGTGTAAGAGCGAGGACCGAGGTTTACGTTTGCTCAGGTGTGAGAGCGAGGACCGATATTTACCTTTGCTCAAGTGTGAGAACGAGGACCAAGATTTACGTTTACTCAGGTATGAGAACGAGGGTCGACATTTACGTCCGATCAATTGTGAGGACGATCGAGAATCGAGAATTAAGACCGGGACAATATCATACAAGACATCAAAGCAAATCAACATAGCGGATTCAAGAATTGAGAAGAAGATTCTGCTATCTTTACATTATTACTTCGAGAAGGCTTTGTTAAGCGGTCGATTGCTTTTGGTGAGGTATCGATGACAAAGCTGTAAGTAAAAACATTTATTGAAATACGTTACGGGTGTGAAAGAAGTATTTAAAAACTTCAAGCGAAGGGACTCGCTCTTTGCAGAAAGGCCGAGTTGTTAGCTTTTTAACTATTTTTGATGTATTCTGTATTCTTAAAAGTTATTTGTTAATCTGCTCTATTTATCAATACATTTATCTTTATTTAAAACAACAACATTGTTAGGAAAATATTAGGAAACGGAAGGAATAGTAGTGGGTAGTTTAATAAAATATATGGCAAGGAGTGGCTCGGGCGCTCGGATGCAGGCTCGGCGCTCAGTCGCCAACAAGCTCAGTGTTTTACTAGTCGTCACAACGGAACGTTGGATATATTTGCGTTTTCGCATTGGAGTTCAGTTTGTGTGTTTTAAAGTAATTTACAAGTATTCGTGTTATTTGTGGAAATATCTAACACATGCAAAAAACGATTATAATGACCGTCAGCCATATTGCTTTCAAAATAATTATGCGAACGTAATTAGTAATTACTGGGCATGAATCAACCGACATTGAGCGTCGGTAGTTAACTGTGGGCATTAAAGTTTAGTACGTTTTTATTTTCTCGACATTAAAAATATTTTGCTGTACATATACGAGATCAATTAATATGTGAAACCCATAATTAATCAAAAGACTCTACTAGGTTCTGCAATGGATACTTGGTAACTACTATATTCGTTATTTTTAATTGTAATAAGACTTACCCAGTTAATATACAAAGTCCAGCTGATATAATATGCGTTCGATTGTTAGCCGCATAGTGTACCCGGGTGACAACAGATCTGTTGCAGTTGGGGCAAGTAATGCCAGTTGGTCGGGGTCCTATTTTGATGTCACTGGTATCGGATGACGTGGGAGCGCTGGTGACGACCACAGTGCGCGGCTGTGTGGTGGGAGCCGCGGGAGGCGGGGGGTTATCGCCGAAGTAAGATGGTGGCGGGGCAGGATTCGGTGCGCTCGGCTCATACGGAGGTGGTAGACCCATTTTATTTTCCACTGTAATAAAACAGGATTTTATAGTAAAGGTGTTTAGAAGTTTAGTTTATTTCACTAGGAGTTATTGTCTCATTATTTAAACAAAAACAGTATTTTGTAGTTGTAAATAGTGAGTTACCTTCAAAGGTATGTAACTATCAAATTCGGATAAACTTGTGATTCTTATCTTTTCATATTAATGTATTGGTGCAATATGTAAAATATCAATTGTAACTATATAATTTGCATCCAATTTGCATCGCATTGTTCACTTCAATTTGTGAGTAGGTCAAATCTGTTTATTCGTGAAATAATTTCAAATTAATTTTCCATGAATGAATGGGAAAGCGTGCGGCCATCGTGTTGTAAACACTGATCACGTTCCCATTGTGTTCAGTTTACGTTCCGTTACACGATTGTTGATGTTATATGATTATGCAAGTCAATTGCAATTGACATATTGTATAAATTTGCATTTCAAATTCTTAATATATCGTTATAAAGATATTTTTAAGATGGATATCAATGAGCAATAATTCTAATACTTATATTAACAGAAATAGTTATTGTTTATAAGGTGCATTAATATTGTACGTGAACTAATTTCAATAAAAACTTTAAGTTTTTAAGCATGAATCCATGATGATGGAATTGTACGCGAAGAGTCTAAATGTGCTTGTGTAATGTTTATTTACATTTCGTCTAAACCACATGTATATTTATGATGTAGTTCATTTATAATTTTAACCATTATACATTGTGTTCCAGTCTCTATCATGAATGACGATGCTGACCACATTAGCATGTACAAAAAAAACACGTATAAAAGCCGCACCATACGTTCAGTTTTAACTATACAATTCGACTGTGAAGTGAAAACTGTAGATGTGTACTTAACTAGTTACGATTTCTGTATTTCCTTGCGTTGGTTTTTTTAGGAATATCGTGACTTGTTATTAGGTTTAAACCATTTCTCTTAGGCATTAAGTGTGGTGACTTATTAAGTGTCGATGTTGTAACGATTACTGCGCTGCTATGTAGGCCGTGACGACAATCACGTTAGGCAATACCGGAAAATGTTAATATCTGTTAAATCCGAAACACTGATATCGAGCCGTTTTTTTTTCGTAATCGATGTTAATGTCATCAAGAAATTTTAGGCGAAAAATTTAAATGTGCAAATAATGCAAATGTGATAAAAAAAATCTATCAAGTAGTCGTTAAATTAAATGATGTAAATGAGGTTAGCATTGCCAATTGGAATAATTTATTTTCGTAGCAAACTGGTCAAACAACATTATCCACGTCATGAACAATACAAGGAAGGCATTTTGTAGTTAAATTCATTTGGAAAATAACCAGTTTTGCAACGAAAAAATAATCTTATTTGAAGAATTAATTAATCTATAAGTATTCTTGTTTTTTTTTTAAACTGATAATTTAAAACGTCTTATTATAAAGTTCATTTCATAAATCCAAATAAGTTTTTTTTTAAATAAAACTGTATTCAAGAGAGAATTAAAAATTATTATTATTAAGATTTAAGAAAAAAAATGACTCAATTTCTAGCAAATAAAGATTACATTTAAAACCTTTGAAGTTAATAACGATAAGTAAACAAACACATTTCTTAATGGGATCAGTTATAACTTACTTGTTGCGTCCATTATGATGAAATTTGACCTTCGCTCTGATTTCTTAATCCCACTAAACTCTTGAAATACGAAACTAAACGTAAAAACTTTCTGTCGTAATCAACGATTCAGTACACTGTTACACTTTGTTCGAATTTGAATTATTTCAAAATCACGTATTAAAAATTAAAGTTAAAAGACATAATCTGTCTTCAAAACTGTGTTGTTTACTTCGTAACGTTGCGCGGGAGTGAATGCACTCGACCTGTGCGCGCGCAACTTCGTTCCGCGGGACAGAGACGGATGCTTGTCGACATAAGTGAGAGAGGGATAGACTGCGAAGCCGTACAGCCTCGGTTAACCCTTTCCGCAAGCGTACGACTGGTTGCGCCTGCCTTATTATAATGGCAATCGAACAATGCGCCATATTGTACAAATAAGTAATCTAGATACAATAACTACACAATCGGCAACGTCTTTTAATTATCTTTATTATTTACTAGCTGTGTGTGCCCAGCGTCGTCTCTGCGAATATCTTTGCAGAAAAATAATAAATACATGCGCTAACTAACCTAACAGATGTTATTGACTAATGATGCATTTGTTTTACTAACAAAATGAATTTAATTAACAGAAATACGTTATTTATGATTGAATGCGATAGATAGTTATTCGTTTTTGTATGTTATAATAGAAACACACAACGTCTGTAGCGACTCAATTTTTTCCTTTAATATAAACAATTGCATAGTAAAGAATCATTCATAACATATATGTATAGTTAATATTTATAGTTAATAGTTTTGTTGACCTTGACGCCATCATTGTTTGCATGTATCACGGTTATGCTTTCGTGCAAAAACAATACAATACCATACTTTTGATCTTCGCTTTATATTCCATGGCATTGAAATATTTTGTATAAAATTAGACTTTTGTCGATTTTGGATCACCTGCATCTGCATCAGCATACATATGTCAATACTTGTATATGTTTACGCAAAATTGTTTGCAGCTTGAAAAGATCGAGATGTGAGAGGAAAATCCTTTATTTTTTAATGGGCATGAATTCTTTGGCATGTAGTCTGCAAGTGCCTGTTACTTATTTATATTTATATTGATTATATTATCTGGTGAAAATACTATATTTTTTATTAAGATTAATAGTGGGAAAGCGCCATCTATACAAAAAAGGGTAAATTCGTAGAGAAAATTAGGTGCTACGATAGTCGAGGGCGGGCGGAATAGCTACATGGTTACGAGAGGGCGGCGGCGGTGGTGGCAGACGCGGCGGGCGGGTCCGGCGGCGCGCGCACGCTTACATAACGGCAGCGGGTACCGGGCGCGCGCAGCTACTGCGGGGTGAGGGGCGCGGGGCGATCGATGCGCGCCCGGGGGGAGTCAGTCGAGCGGCGAGCAGCGACATGGCGGCGCGCCCACCCCGCGCGGCGGCCCCGCGGCCCGGGCCGCGCGAGTAGGTCGCCATGCGCGATGCGGTATGAGGCAGCGCCGCGCCCGGCGGGCCGGCCCCCGCTAGCGGCGCCGCCCCCGCCATGCGAGCGCCGCCGCTGCTGCTGCTGCTGCTGATGGCGGCCGCGGGCCTGGCCGTGAGTCCGCTCGCGCGCCTCAACCCCTGGCTGAGCGCGTGCGACCTGGAGGAGGAGGGCGCGGGCGGCGGGCGCGAGTGCGGGCGCGCGGCGTGCGGCGGCGGCGGCGGCGCGCTGCCTTCGCTGGCGGGGCGCGACGTGCCGCACCTGTGCGCGCTGGCGGCGGGCACGCGCGCGCGCCGCCTGGCCGAGCTGCGGCTGCGCGCCTGCTGCGAGCGCTCGCCGGCCTCCGCGCTAGACCGCGGCGCGCGCGCCGACGTGCTGGCCGGCGGGGACCGCTGCGAGCGCACGCTGCGCGACCTCCTCGCGCTCGACGCGATGGTCGCGCGCGTGCACTGCGACTTCGCCACCATCCTCGATCGCTACGACTGCGACCAGCCCTTTTCGGTTCACACTTGTTACGAGTGCCAGGTGAGTGTTCACGTTTGACGTTTAAGTTTATCTACTACGATCCTACTTCCTGCTGGTGTTGTCGAGAAAGTGAATGAGTTTAACTTTATAACTCAAGTCAAATTACCACTCAGTATTGGGCATACTAGACACATAATCAAGTCAAGTTGTGCGTTACGTAGTCAAGGAAAATAGCAATTTAATTAAAACAGTAAGACTTGGTTTCAATTGATCGAATTTGAATTATAACTACCCTCAAAAAGAGAAATATCACAAATGGTAAGTGTTGTTTATGAAACACAGTAATAAGGTTATTAGATCAAGTATCAATTACAGGTAGGTCAATCAAATCAAACAAAAGAGGTAAGATATTGTGTGAGCCGGGGCCGGCCGCCCCACGAGCACGCCGCGTGACTCGCGCCACTGGCTACACGATTATATGCGTATATCGATCCATCTGAACAAGTCACACTTGAAACCCTGTCACAAGGTAATAGATATATGATTTCACCGCACGATACCTTTTTATCTCGGTTTAAAGCTCGAGCGAAAGCCAACCACATGTAAGTAATTATAACGAGTCCGTGATAAGTGATTGAATAACCTTGTAAATGATTATTAAAATTAAAACGTCCAAGTTACAGTAATACCATTATTTAAGTAAAAATTTTATAACTTATTTGTGTCATGCACGTAACTCATTTTTCATATAACAATTAGATGTGTTTGAAACGAAAATTTTCTCACAAAAAAGTTTTTGAGAAATATCGCGTACGCATCATCATAAAATTCACAAATACGTCCTGTACTACACCAAAACAATAACAAAATCAACAAAGTAAGAGTGTGCAACAGTAAAAAGTTAACTATAAAACACTTTATCTTGATATGATATACTTCCACTGATGGGCAACAATCCAAGAAGTAAATTTTTCATGATATACCATGAGTACATATTGCATATTCATTAACATTGCTTATTATCTGTTTATTTATGGTAGTGTTTACAATGCAACATCTTGTAAAGCATTTTTATATTTATTTTTAAAAGTAACAACTACTAAAAAGATTTTATTTAAAGTCATATTTATCTCATCGTCTCTTTTGTAGATTTATTAGAATATCTGCAGCAATTGTTAATCCTGCTACGAACTATGGTCCGTGTATGGCAGAGCCAACTGCTTATTCCTCTACGACGTAGAGGGTATTCTGATCGCACCAAGTTGTCAATAAACTGCTAGAAATAGTCCGTGTTTATCGGCCTAAAGGTCTGAAATTCCCAAAATTGCTTACATGTGTAAGAGTTGATTTGGAAATTTTGTAGGTTCTGCTTTCATTAAAGATATAAAGTACTTAAAATTATATCAAATAACAATATTATTACATTGTGCAAAGTGCAAGGAATTCTATTTAAGGTAAAATACATTTTAAACATATATTTCCTTCTTCAATAGAGTTCGTTTGAACGAGTAAATTGGCATCCGGTGACCGGCTATGTCATGTTCACTCCCCATTGTACACTCGACAAACGCTTCCTTACAACTGTAGATATTTTACTCTCACTTTAAAAACATGAATTTAGAAAGGCTTTATTCTTTTGTAAAGTTTAATTAACAATTTTTTAAAAAGTAGGAAAGACAATCACTTAGGTTTAGACTAGCTGTTTCAGTGCGGCTTCATCCGCATGAAATTATAAAAACTTGATGTTATTCTTTACATTTCTCAAATTTTCAATTGCAAATTTTAAAATTAGCGTTACCATAACAACCTTGCTTCCTGAGTGTTGGCAGCTTCTAGTTTATGGTCCCTTTCCCACATGAAGGTTTTTTCCAACTAGTTTAACCCCTAAGTTTAATAGCCGGAAAATATATGGTCTAAAGCTTCTCGTAAATGTAGAGCTTTTAATTAAAGAACAAATTATTATAAAATACGCTGTGATTGTTGACATCTTACGCCACGAAGCCGTGTATATTTACGTTTTATTATAGACTTGCTGTTCCCGTGCGATTTCATCCGCATGGAATAATAAAAATGTATTTTATTGTTTACATTTGTCAAATTATAAATTATAAATGTCAAAATGACATGACATGAGTGCATCCTTGCTTCCTTGATGTTGGCAGCAGCTTATGGTGTCTTTCCCACATTAGGGTTTTTATCGAAAATATTTACCGCCTAAGTTTAATGGCGTGAAAATATATAAAGCATGACGTAAGCGTAGGGCTTTCTATTAAAAAAAAGAGTTATTCAAAAATATGCTGTGATTGCTGACATCTTAGGCAACAAAGAAGTGTGTGTTTACGCTTTATTATAATAGTATAGATAGATAAGGAAATAGCGTCATAAAACTTTCTCCAATATAAGTTAAAAGTTAGTAGGAGACAAACAGCAGTAAGTAATTAAAACCATTAAGCACATCTGTTTACGTTATCTGATACACTATTTACAGTAAATATAATATTGAACATTGTGCAGACATTAAACATTAGAAAAATAATTTTATTATCTCTAAACTTAGTTAACAGTTCTGTAAACAGGAAACAAACAACTGTACAATATCAAAACAAACATGGTTTAATTAAGGTTGACATAACTTCCGAGTGTCGGATGTATTGTACAATTGTTAAACAATGAAAGCGTCTGCGAGCATTTCGATACGGCCATTTGGCGTGCGTGTGGCGTGCCCCTAACCGTTCTCAGAGTATACGGAGATGTCACCTGTCCCTAGAACACTGGAAAGCTTTCAAGCATTTACCACTCCGTTAACTTCGCTCCGTTATTACAATACTGGGTACGGTTCTCGTGCTCACGATAAACCAGTAAACGATTTCGATTTGTTAAAATTTTAAATCTATTGCAATATTCCGTTGAGATTCATACAAATAAATACCATCAAGGAGTCATTTTTTTTATAACATAAGGTGGCAAACGAGCAAGCGGCCACCTGAATCCGCCAAAATGGCGAAACGACCGCTGCCCATAGACATCCGCAAAAACGGATGCGTAGCCTACTCTTGATCGACAGAGGATTTTTCTTTTTTTGTCATTTAAATTACTTCAGTGATATGCGGATTTTAGTGTTATCTCTTATATTAATTAGGTAAAGAAACGTATTAATATTTATCACTTTGGTAACTTACCGTTGTCATTTTTAGAGACTGAAATGCCACTTATTTCTTCAAATAGATAGTCGCAAAAATAACATTGAAAAGATAATATTTTAGCTGCAAACTTAGTTACAATGATCTTTTTCTTAAACAAAATT